AAAATAGTCTGTGATTTCTTTGTTCTGTAAAGGTGGTAATGTACTGCATTTCTTAGTAAAGTCATAAAACCTTTGTGTCTATCTACATTATGAATCTACTCATTAACTGGGTGGAAAATGTGCAGCTGAGCTATTTTACATTTCTGGATATCCTGTCTTGACACCTACAATTTTAAATTCAGCAAGAAAATTACTTAAGAGCATTGCCATATCAATGTTTCATTCCGGCTCTGAGCAAAAATAGAGCACTGGCCCAAGATTTCTTTTGCTGCCCTAAGCAAATTAAAATCCCCCTTCCCTTGTGTCTTATTTCAGGTATAGGATCTAATGTTCTCATGCAAATCTGATATTCGAGAACTGTCCAACGTACTGTTTTTGGATTTATTATATTTTAACTACAGTTGCTTTTTTAATTTTTCCCTTTTACAATCCTGCCTGTGCACAGGCTGGACCATGAAGATCAAAAACTCTCTTGCTCTTTGAAACTCAGGAGATGTAACCAGTGGCAGGGTCTCTCAGCTCCTGCAAAGTTTGGACCAATGGTGGGCAACCAGCAGCCCTCCAGATGTTTTCAGCTATAACTCCTAGTCAGCATAGCCAATGATGAGGGCCAATGGAAGTTGTAGTCCTAATGGCTGAAGGCCAGCAAATGGTCCACTCCAGTGTAGAAACTGGGTATTTCCAAGGGAATTACAGTGCTACTGTTGGAGTTTTGGCACACCAGGTACTACTGTAGCTTTCCTCTATAATAGGTAGGGTCCATTACATCCTTAAAATTGGACCATAAGGAAGGCTGAGCACCGAAGAATTGAGCCCTTTGAATTGTGGTGCTGGAGGAGACTCCTGCAAGTCCCCTGGACTGCAGGGCAATCAAACTGGTCAGTCCTAGAGGAGATCAACCCTGACTACTCTTTAGAAGGCCAGATAGTGAAGATGAAACTCAAATACTTTGGCCACCTAATGAGAAGGAAGGACTCCCTGGAGAAGAGCCTGTTGCTGGGAACGATGGATGGCAAAAGAAGGGGACGGCAGAGGATGAGGCGGATAGATGGAGTCACTGAAGCAGTCGGTGTGAGCTTGAGTGGACTCCGGGGGATGGTGGAGGACAGGAAGGCCTGGAGGAGTGTTGTCCATGGGGTTGACTTCACAACTAGCAAGCAAGCAATTACATCTCTGTGTTACAGATGTTCTGTCATCTACTCATTCATGGAACTGGATTTTATGTATGAAAATTGTGTTGCTGTTTGCTAATGTGCATTGCCACAAAGGCTCACTTATGTGCAAGTTCACATTTGCACAGATTCCCCAAAGTTAAAAAATAGCCTGCCATTTCCCAGAATCTGGACAATTAAAAAAAATATATAATCCTCTGTGGAATATGCAGGTCATATTCATAGAAGCTGAAACTTATAGATGTCTCCAGATTTTCGTTCTTCTGTTTGATACAACAAAAGACACAATTTAAAAAAACTGGGTTGTATGAACTAGGGATTAAACTGGAATAGTTTTAGGCAAGTGGTAACATAGTCTAACATAGTCAGAAAAGGAAATGGCTTTGGTTTGAAGGAAGCTGGATAGCTTTGAAGTGGGAACGAAAAGGAAATAGAAGGGTGTCATTGAAATTAGTCATGGCCTGATTATATCCTGTGAAAAGCAATGGGAAGTGTTTAGGTCCATGTGAAAGGGGGAGGTGGCTTGCCCTCCCATGCCGTTCCACCCCACCTCAAGCACAAGACATAAGGACACTACGTAGGCACTGCTGAATGTTATACCTGCGTTGCCTTCGCATTCCTCTCGCTCAGCCAGCTCCAACAGGTTTGCTTCTCTTGGGCTGGCAATGTAAAGTGTTTGTGATCGTGCAGCCCCACCTCAGGGGGAAAGACCCTGGGAAACCCTCGTATTAAGCAGCCCCATGGAGAAATCAAATGTGAATGATGTTCTTAGCTTCCTCCTGAGGCGAGCTGCAGTTGCTATTATTCATCCTTTCTTTCATTTCATTTCCAAACCGCCCCACAGTGAAAGCTGCCTGGTTGAGTGCTCCGAAAGACTGCATGTGTTCCAGTGCCTTCAGTCAGACTTGGGTGGCCACATTTCCCAGCTTACCAAGGGCAGTCCTCTCTTTAAGACAACCTCTCCTTGAAGGGTTATCCATTCCAAGGCCAATAAGGGAAAGGGAAGTAACAGAAGGATCAAACGAGGCCATCAAGTTACCCTTCAACAGTTCTCCATTGTTCTGATGTATCTTGTAGGTCACTATGTTTAAACTGGCATATACAGCAGCATATACTAATTTATGCAAATGCATGTTCTCATTGTAGTTATGCATTTAGCAATGCATTGAGGGTCAGTGTGGTGTGGCGGCAAAAGTGTTGGACTGAGACCCAGGAGACCTTGGTCCAAGTCTCCACTTGGCCGGGAAGCTCACTGGGTGATGGGCCAGTCATTCTCTCCCAGCCTACCTCGCAGGGTTGCTGTTGAGAGAATAAAGTGACTGTGTAAGCCAACTTGCATTCCTCACAAGAGGAAAAATGGCAAGGTACCAATGCAAGGAAATAACCATTTTCTCCATTTTAGATGACACGTAAGTGACTCCCCTACCCTAAGCAAAACCCTAAAGAGACTTACACACTTTTGCACTGTTTCTGTAAAGACTGGTTAGCTAATTTTTGCTGCCAGTCTAGCCTGGAGCTTAACAGAAATTAGACATTTGGGGGAAACTGATGCTCTTTTTCTATGTAGCAATAAAAGAATGCTCTCTGAGTGTGCTTTGGGTTGGAATACAAGGTAGCATATACTTTTTGGATGATGTATTACCTGGCAGTGTCTCAAATGGTCAAAGGTGTGCTGTAAATACAGAAGCATGTACATCACCGCTTTCTTATTATTGTACATTATGTAACACCCTGAGCACGACACCATGTAATTAGACAAACGAGCTCATGTAACCCCAGCAGAACCATAAAACAGATCTTCCAGCAGACAGCATCCAGCTGCATTTTGTAAAAAGCACAGAGCATAAAACATGGCTTGTACCTGTACATCGTGGCAGGAATCCAATATTTATCCCCTGTTTGTACTGCAAGGAAATGGGGTCCTTGGGGTCAGAAAGAACAGCTGCTTTAATTATAAGATCCCAGTATATCACATCAAAGTTTTCTCCATCTTGTGCAAAACTCCTGAATATACCCCAAGAGTTCATTTCGATCAGCATTCATTTTTGTGATGGATAAGTCTATGTATGAATTGTCTAGCAAATTATCTGTTTCAGGTATCAAGATAAAAGGGATGTTTTCGTCTCTGCTGCATAAGGCAATAGGATATGGCATCCATTATTAATGCAATTTTTAAGCTCTTTGCTGACTCCCCCCCCCCCCCAGTAATTTAGGACAAGAGATTTGTTTTGTGGGGAAAATCCTCAGCCTGCTTCTTGCCCCTTTGGCTGGGAGCCATGGGATATCAGGGGCAGGCGACCCATTCTGCTCTGTGAGCCAAGCTGCCTCCCCAGGGGACCAGATGGCCCCCTGCCCAATGCCACTCCCCCTCCTATGACATCACCACACATGGCTCCACCTATTTTATTTCCTCTGTGCAGAGAGAGGCACAGAGTGGCCCACCCAGTGCTGCAGAAGCCGAATCCTGTGGATCCTGGCCAGGTCCTTCCCTTCCCAGCGACACCTGGTGGTGCCAGGGACTGGACCTCCTGCCTGTGTCACTGGAGAACTGGCTCAGTGCAGAGTTGGATGTGGACCTGGGAGGCCCGCGTTCAATTTCCTGAGCAGCCATGACGCGCCAGCGGTGGCCTTGGAGGACAGCTGCCCATGGTAGTCTAGGCTACCTCTCAGGGGTTTTGTAAAGAAAAAATGGGATGTTGTTTGTTCCGTGCTGAGTTCCTTGGAGAAAGGCCAGGTAGCCTTACAATAAATAGTATTTTTGTACTCCTTCAGTGTTCCTGCCAAAGCCCATCCTGTATGATGCATACAGTTGAAATTTGTGTGTGTAATGCATAAAATGCTTTGCATATATACCTTTAAGACAGACAGTATGGAAAGGTCTAAGACATCTCCACGGGAGGCATTTACTGCTAATTCCTAACTCCTTCCTTCCTTCCTTTCTTTCAGGGGGGGGAGGGACAAGGAAAATGAGCTGCTAATGGGATGTCACATATGAGACCCTAGAAAATGGCTGTGCATTTGGGTGATCTTTTTATGCTGCTGCACAATGCCACTTTATGGTTGTGCAATGGAACATTAAGAAAGGCAGAGAAAGAAGACCCTGGCCAAAAAGAAAGGCACATGTCATAGAGTCATAGAATAGTAGCGTCAGAAGGGGCCATGAAGGCCATCGAGTCCAACCCCCTGCTGTTGCAGGACACCACGTTACACCATCCCACTCAGATGGCTGTCCAGGTTCTTTTTGAATGTCTCCAGTGTGGGAGAGCCCACCACCTCCCTGGGCAGCTGGTCCCACTGTGGTATTGCTCTGACAGTGAGGAAGCTTTTCCTGATGTCCCGCCTGAATCTGGGTTGTCACAGCTTGACTTGATTATTCTATGTCCTGCACTCTGGCACCAGCATGAAGAGATCTTGACCTTCCTCTTTGTGGCAGTCTTTGAGGTACTTGTAGAGGGATAAGATGTCAAGGAGCCAGTCTTCATCACACTGAGAGCTGGGAGCAGAAGCTTTGGGAAACTGGCCGTCTAAATGCTTCATGCAAAAAAGCTCAGCGCTGGGACATTGCTTCCTTTCAGGGTTGGGTACTGGATGCCACCTTTGGGTAACTGCTACCTCTGCATTTGATGTTCCCTGATGTTCCCTGTTCCTCCTTCCTGTTTGTGGCAAACTGTAGGGACCACGGCTCTTTTGCCAACTGGGCAACTGTGTATTCCATGCAGGATGCATCCGACTGAAGCAGAACCATCTGTGTCCAGGCACTTGGTGCTAAATCACGTGTGGCTCCCAGCAGCTTCTGATCTGATGGCAGGCTCCTTTGTCTTTTAACAGATGCTATGCTTTTGGTAGCAGACCGATTAGAGGGGCCATTCAACATCGAATCAGTGATGGATCCTATTGATGTCAAGATTTCTGAAGCCATCATGAACATGCAGGAAAACAGCATGCATGTAACAGCCAAGGTATGGGGCACGGCCTTGCTACAAAAGGCTCAACGAGTTGCAAAGGGTTGGACCCAGATTTGTGCTGGATCGGCTATGCAGACAGTGGCCTCCCTTGGCTCCTCTTTTCTGTGGCAGCCGCTCCAGGCCCCTGAAAGTGCTACACAGAGAATCGGGGGACACTGCTGAACGGCATGAGCTGCAGTGTGAGGGAGGGGGGTTCCCAAAATCAAGCAGAGGGGCCTTCTGCAAGGAGATGCCTTCTCCAGAAAAGCAGGTCCTGGCTCCAACCCAAATTACACTGTCATTGCTGGTCTCTTTACAAAAGCATTTATTTTGCCTGTGTGGTGTAGCATGGTTTTTAGCTTTGACATCCTGCGTATCGGGTAGAATGTGAGGATTTTGTTCAGTATGAGTTTTGATAAGGACCTTTTAAACATCGCAAATAAATGAGATTCAAATACTGAAGAAACTGAAGCTGACAGACTCATCCATCAAAGCCCAGGGCAAACAGTGCTCAGCATTTCAAGTCTGGGCTTGACTCTCTGGGTCTTCAATCAAGTTAGTGCTGGATTGTTGTCGTTTTTTTTCCATGGGTTGTCTGTGGTTAACAAGTTTGTTCAGACAACATAACCTATGGTTCAACAACAACTCAAGGTTAATTTGTTGTCTGAATTAGCAGTGTGTTAGGAAGCTGGTTTGGGCAGGGGCATGTGTCAGCTTCCTTGAATCGGCTCCCCAAGCACCAGCCGGCTTTCTCTCTGCCTTCAATCCATCTCCCCCTGCATATTCATGGGAACAGCCAGCAGGAAGTGAGTCCCAGGCAGTCTGTGAGGATGGTTTGCCTGCTGCACCGGTGGAGCTCTGCTTCCACCTGTGGGACCTGAAGGCTTTGTGTAGCCGGTGCAAAGGGTTACATCCTTTGTGCAAAGCATTTGCTCACATTGCTTTAAAAATTACGTACTTTGTGCAAAGCAACCACTGCGATTCCCAGACTCAATCTCAGCTTGGCTTGCTTCCTGGGCAGGGTGGAGCATGGGAAGGAAGTCTAGTGAGTGCAAGAGAGCTGGATTCCAGCTTGATCTCCACATCCCTAGTCTGAACACCCCCCCCCCCCCGTATCTTAGACACATTTCATTCAGGTCTCCTTTGTATCTCAAGTGGGAGCGCTGGAGCACAGCTGAGACAGCTTCGTTCCATTGTTCCAGACTCCCTGGCTCCAGCTTCCTGCTGATTCTCCACATTAATGAAAAAAGACAGACTTTTTGCTAGTTTGAAGTCAGGGGGCGGACATTCATACCAGTCTGAATCACAATCACAAATATCAAATATGGGACATGAATACGACCAATGCAAAAATACCATTACCTGATCCATGTATCACTATCTATCTAAAACCTATTTGTGGCATGAGAGAGTTACCTAGATCCTTGCATGCCTACCTTTCAATATATATGTGCAAAAAGGGCAAATCCGGTGTAAGGGCAAATCTGGCGTAAGTTTAGCCAGAAAAAGGACCTTAAATGAAGCGCATCCTTTGCCTAATTTTAAAGTCATCCGCAAGTGCAGCATTACGTTCTGCAGACTCTGACAGCACTATTTCATTCTGTCAAAGCTCTGTCTAGAATCTGACACATCAATAGATAGTATCAATGGGATCAATTTCCTCTTTTTAATTTGCAGCCTCCACTTAGTCTCACCCATCTGTAACGCCAGCCACATTGAAGCTATTATGACACAATCACCCTTGTAATATGTCAGCTTCTCCCGAGCCATTAACCATTGACCAAAAATGCCACCTTCCATTTGCATTGATCGGGGCTCTTTGGTGCACACTGCAATTCCAAAGCCTCGTCCCTGCCCTACAGCCTCTCTCTGCAGATGGGTCTCTGAAAAAGAGCTGTGCAATTGTTGATGCAACTAGTTCTCCACTGAACAGTGGCAGGAGCTATACAGATGGCAGGCTGGGTGGCTCATGGAATGGCTCTCATTCCCTTTTATTCAGCCAAGGAAACAGGCTGCTCCCCAGTGAGAGAAGAAGCCTTCCAGCCCAGGGCTCATCAGTGAAGTCCATTCATCTGCCAGTAGCTTGGTGATCATACAGAACAACCATGCCCTGCATGAGAGTTCATTGTCCCTCCTGTATTGCTACACTCGGGCTGGACTCTACTTCTGTGAGTGTTGTTTTTATTCACATCACCCACTCCAAGAGGTATATTTTCTCTCAAATCTGCGGACTGATGTGGAAAAGCAATCTTGTCAAAGCTATTTTGTCATCTGGAAAGCAAGGGAGTTTCCCAGTCTTGGCCCTGCGAAGGCCCAGAACAAACCTTAAGTATAAGTAGAAATGTGTAAGAAACCCCTTTTGGGGATGGGAATCCATCAGGCCCCGTGTGGTTGGCTCCCTGGACTCTGGTCTGCTTTGGCACAGCTCCGAGTCTGAGTTCCTGGCGAGGGCACCAAGAAACCAGCACCAAGAACGAAGCTCCCATGGATGCTGCACAAATAGCATCCTCCTTCCAGGCAGTGTGCAGCAACCTTTGTCTATGCTGCTGCAAAACCATGCACAACTTGGCTTCTGTGAGCATTCACAGACTTGCTCTCCGAGTGCCTCACTTTCCAGGACAGTGCTGAGCATGGGAGTAGCTCTGTGAATTCTAGAGGGATGGATTCTCCGGAGTTTTATGCATCTCTGGTATTGAATAGAGTAGGGATGCACCCTGTCAGAATTCATCCCTATAGCATTCACAGACTGGTTCTCTGCTAGGCCCAGTCCTGCAAAGCCAGCCAAGCCAAGTGGAAGTCTACAAAGCTCACAGACCCTTGGCTGCACAAGCGACAGCTGTCCCTGTCAGGTGCAGCTGCCCAAAGAGCAGCTACAAATCATGGAAGATGGAGCTGTGAGCGAGCACACCAGGCACCATTCCCAGCATGCAACTTTCCTCCCCACCTAGTGCTGATGGTGGCTCCCCATGAACGCTGGGCCCCCTCGCAAGGAACTCAGATCTGAGGCTGCTGCAAATCAGACCATAGTCCAGAAAGCCAAACCTGTAGAATCCAGTGGATTCCCGCCCCCAGATTGATTCCGTGAATATCCCTGATATCAAATAAGTGTCTTTTTCGCCTGAAGGCTGAACTCTATTTTGGAGAAGCTCTAGTGCCCAGTGTTGGGTGGGGTTCAGGGCAAAGAGGAAAGGGCAAAAATAGCAGCCTGCTTTTTCTTAAAGGTTGCCAGGAACCAAGCTTTAGGAATGAAATTTTACCTTTTCAGAACAGAAACATGCATTAAAGCTGGGAAACAACAAAACATTTAGTTGTCACCTTCTGGGAAACCCCAGAGGGCTAATCTAAAAGATTAGAAAAGTCAGGTTTTGCTTCCACACCTCAGGTTCTGAACCCCTACTCTAAATAGGCATACTGGGGTAAGCTGGAAGAAGGTTGGTAGTTCCTGACCAAACCCAAAAGAACAAAGCAAAGTGAAAATCCTCATATTCAAAATGGGGAGCCAGGTGGGCCTAGAAGTAGCCCGGGCTGGAAGTGTTGTTGAAAACAAAGGTATCCTTTAACCTCCAAAATGGCACCTATCCACTATTTTTTCACTCAGTCTGTGTTACTGCGTCTGTTAATGTACAGGCTGAAGACAGAAGTCACATCTTGAAGTTCCTCATGCAAAACTTGGTGGATGGACTTCAGCAAGTAAATCCACCAGCAGCACTAAATAGCAAGTCTGCACTTAACGAGAATGTCTTCAGGGATAAGGAAGACAATGCTGAGATATTTTCAGCGGTTTTATCCATGTTAAAACACTATCTGGGTTTAGAAGCTGATGGAATCCATTTTGAGTCAACCTCTAGTGTAACACAACATGGGTCTTGCAGGTTTTTCAAGGGTGTGGACAACCTAAACCAGCTCCAGGATTAAGAACTTCCCGCTCTGCTCCTGATACCTTTAACACCCGCTTTCGACCATATAACCCAGAAGAAAGACCAACAACAGCGGCAGGTACAAGCTTGGATAGACTGGTAAGTGATGTTCATGGTAATCATGGACTCAGGTATAATTAAAATGAAGGAATCTTGAAAGCTGGCCTTCTTTACATAGTGATGGTGTGAAGCTGCAAGGAAAAAAAAAGTGGAATAGTGCAATGAACAGCTGTTTTCCCTTAGGAAACAAGGAATAGTCAAGTAATTCAATCCTTTTGCATAATGATAAGGTAACAGTACTGGCAGGAATACTGGAAGGAACATGGATTATATCATTGCTGTTGTAGAAGTGCAGTCTCACTCAGATATTTATCACGGTGGGGACCCTCTGGCCCAGGGAGTCCAGTCCAGCATGCATGGGGTCCTAATCTGGTTCCCATTTCCCTTCTTCCAACCACAGATCCTTTTGTGATTGCCGGGAGGGGGGTGCATTTTTCCCCATTTTAAAAGGTCCAAATCCCTCCCCCAAGGCTTTGTTAGTGGCTATAAGAGTCCATATGGGCTCTTAATCACTATCTCTGTGGAGGTGAGTTTAATTTTGCCCTTGCCCACACTTCCTACTTATTTATTTAACTAATTTTCCCACTAAATGGGCCCAAGGGCCCTCGACAATCAAATAAAAACATACTACACCATGGCAGTAAAAACAAGCAGTTGCAAAGCAATAAGCAAAAGGCAATAAAATAAGCGAAAGTACACAGCTGAGGGCAATTGATTTAAAACCATCAAGATAAAATCAAAGATCGTACTCTAAAGATTGTAGCAAGGGCACCAAGTGAACTGCTTTTGGGAGGCTGCTCCACAGATCAGGCGCAACTACGGGGAAGGCCCCCCCTTCTATGAGCCGTCTTCCTGGAGCATGGCTCTTTCAGAAGGGCCTCTAAAACTGGTCTTGGGGGCTGGGTAGGTACATATGGGAGCAGGCGGTTCTTTAGGTGCCCTGGTCCCAAGCCATTTAGGGCTTTATCTGTTAGCTCAAGCACCTTAAATTGGGCCCGAAGCGCAACTCGTAGCCAATGAAGGTGATAAAGTATTGGAATCACATGGGTGTGTGTCCACGTGAGTGTGGCGCGCACGCACAGTCACACCACCCTGTTCTGTTCCAGTTGAAGTTTCTGGACTGCCTTCAAGGGCAGCCCCATGTAGAGTGCATTACAACAGCCCAGCTGAGAGAGTGGGTGAACATGGGATTAAAAATCATTAATCTTGTCTCATCTCCCCCTTAATCTTGGATTGTGTTTATTATTAAATAATATACCAGTTCTTACAGGCCAACAGTCCATCATGAGTTAATTCAGCTTCAAGGACCAGCAATGCCTTCTGGCTGCCATTATAAATATGTAAGCCCCCCGAGGGTGGCCATGGCTAGCCCCATCATTTGAACCCAGCGGCAGGGCTATTTTAGAGTCAAACCATGTTTTAGACAATAGACAATAGACCGTGTTTTATGGGGTCTGAATTAGGCTGAAGGGTTTCACTATGTACACAGTCAGAAGAGCAGTATTACAATAATGAAAGCTTGTTTGTATAATTTAAGGATCACCCCATGAAAAAGATCGGCTTTTTATCAAGCAGAAATACTGAAAATGATGTCAGAGTCTTACTGTGCACTGTTCACGCAACCTGGAGCGGAAGCGAGAGAGGTGGGTGGAGACCTTGGCCAGAGCCAAAGGCAAGGTTAGCAAGGACCAGACACCTTTCATGGCATAGCAGGATGAGGGATGCATGGGGGATTTTTCGGGAGCAGGAATTCACCGCATTCCCTGGCCCAGCTCCCTGGGGTCCTGGTCACTTTGCTGTGGCCAGCAGTCTGAGCTCCTGGCCAGCGTGCCCGGCATGCGCAGGACACCCTCTGGGAAGCAAGCCCCACATACTTGCTTGTGCGGAAAGCGTCACTCTGAGAGCCTTCACGGACTTCCTCTCAACTGGCTTTCCAAGACAGGGCAGTGCACACGAGGAAGCCCGTGCAGGCCAGAGAGGTGGATCCGGGGAGCCAAGGCTTGGCTGAGCACACGGCGAGCCTGAAAGCAGGACCTGGGCCACAGCGAAGCCGCCACTAGGGCCCACGACCCTGTGACCAAGCTGGCAGCACAGGGAGGCCTTTGCAGAGCCCTCCAGAGCTCCTCGCTGCACCGCAGGATGGCACAGGCTTCAGCCCTTACCAGTGCAGCCTTACAAGTACATCAGCAGGATGCACATTCATTTAAAGATGCTTCTGCTTCAGTGCATTGTTTGCAACAAGTTGCGTGTCCCTGTTCACAAGGCATCACGCTTAAAGGATCTCTGTCCCAGCACCCTCTGGATTTATGCACTTGCTGAAGTTTGCTGCCCCTGAAGGTGGTTTTGTCAAAGGCAGGGAGACTTCCATATTGACCTGCCGCAGTAGCATCAGGCCCACATTTGATTAATGTCCTGAAACATTTTCTGGGCTGGATAAAAATATTCATTTTTGCACCAAATATTTCCAAGGGCAGGACCACACAATTCAAGAGTGCACTGGCAGCTCAGTTTTTCATGGCACTCTTTTTAAAAATACACTTAACCAGCTCCAATAATTATATGCAGGTATCTAAAATATGCATAGATAGATTTACTTCTTTTAAAGCAGTCACAGCCACATGCGTAGAGCTCCCGGTCATCTACCATTTGGCTCTGGGTCTCTCAAGATCTTACAAGTCCGTATCTGCTTAGTTTCAGCAGTGCTACAACATCAGGTGCTCCCGCACTATTCACTGTGGGTGCAAACATGCATCTGAGTCTGGATGCAATCTAAGCTCACGGCACTGTTTTCAAGGGGATGAGCATCCGGCATATTTCTTGATGACAGATAGCTGGATGTCTTAGAAATAAAACCCGCTAATAAACTGCTATAGATGGCAATAACCTTTTACTGGTATACTTTGTTATGCCACCTGCTTCTGATATTTCAGAAAATTAATGCGCAGTGTTGCATGCAACAACACGAAGGTTGTGGATTTGGTGCATCTGGCAGAATATTAGGAATGCTCTGACCCCTTCACCGGCCTTAACCCAGTTTCTCTGTCGCCGGTCCTCACATACACCCATCCCATCCCATGGTTACCACTTGATGCGCATGAGTTACTGAACACTGTGAAGGTGCAAAATATTTTTATTGTGTCACAAAATTTAAGTAAACAAAACAAACTGGAACTTGTGCATTTATGCATGCGTATACTCACCCAAGTTAATACTTCGTGGAAGCACCTTCAGTTGCAGTTTCAGCTGCAAGACATTCTGGTTAAATCTCTGCCCGTTTTGCACATCCTGCAATATTTGCCTGTTCTTTCTGACAAATTTGCTCCAACTCTTTCGGCTTGGATGGGAACCATGGGTGAATAGCGATTTTCAAGTCTTGGCACAGATTCTCAATTGAAGCCTGAACTTTGGTAGTGCTTTGCACCTTTTCCCAGGGTCAAGTATCTCATCTTTATGAAAGTGGTAATAATGCCAATTAAATCCATATCGCTTCCAGGTTGTAACACAACAAAATGCAGAAAAGTCAAAAGGTTGAGTCCCTCCAGGTGAAACCACCCTGACCACCCATGGTTGGTTTGAGAGTTGTTTGACCTATGATGGATGTCATCCAAAACTGGCCCACTGAGCCTACGGTAAGTCCAGGGAAGAGGCAAGTGAGCTACAGTATCTGGCAAGAGCTGCCAAAGCTCCTCACGGCTCACCCAGGGCCCCCCAGGGCAGCCACTCCACCAAGCGCTCAAGCAGCAACAATCCCTGTTGTGGTCATGACCCCTTCTGCAGCCTCCATGGCTTCCTTCCTGCTTTTCCACCCCCTTCTTGGAGATCTCTGTGGCATTTACTGGAGCGGCAGCCTGTCAGCCTCTCCAAGAGGTCCACAGGACACACTGGAGCACCCGTTGCTCTTTTGTCATCATTTTTTTCTCCACCAGAAAGGTACATACACATTTTTTGTGTTTTTTCCCATTTTGCCAGTAACCCGGAGGTTGTACAAGTATCTGGCTCAGCTCACCAGTGTCCCGTGCAGTGCCTCTTGTCACACCATGAAATACATGAGTGTCCCTGTCAAGCACCTAGAGGCTTAGGAAAGGGTCAAAGAGGTGGACAGCAGTGAATGCTCTCCGGCCCACACTTAAAACCTGGAGAATCTTGCTGAAGGGGGGAAGGCACAGCTGCCACCCCCGTTCAGAAGCAAAGATCTCCTTGTGCCTTTGCTTTGGTCTTGACAGCTTGTCATTGGACAGCTGTCAATTGACAGCTGAACGAAATCTATTAGAACCATTGCTTTGTCAATCTCTACTTTGAAAGAAAGCACTATCTGGTACACGGAAGAACCCCTGGATGTCCTCCTCCTCATCCCCATTGTGTCTTGCAGCTGCCCCTTGCACTATCCCAGGCAACAGAGGTGGTGAGAAGGAGGCACAGAAGATGCCGCCAGTTCCTTGTTTGCTGGCTGGCTTTCTGCTTGTGAAGCAAACGAGTAGCAGCAATGATGCAAGAGAGGATGAGGACCACTAGCAGCTGGTGACAGTGGCGGTGAGGGAAGGAGCCCATGTCTTCTCCAAAGACTGTCAAAATTCTGGAGCCGACAGTGGCACGCACAGTACAGCCTGCTCTCCACAGGAGTTCCCAGTGGATGTGTGAGCACCAGCAGGAGGGTCTACTCGGTGCAGCCCCAGCCCCATCTCAGATGCTCCCTTCTCTAGCACATCTAGCATTTGCTCATGGTCATTGCAGGAAGTGACCAGGAGAGCAGTCCTCTCCCTCTGTCCTCTCCATGATGGGGAGATCTGAGTTCCAATGACAGGTAGGGCCATGCAGCTGATTTAGACGATTCCCACTATTTAGTATCTCTTTCCCCTGGTCATTAATAGGTTACTCATAAGATGAAATGGCGAGAGCAGAGTTTTGACAGATAGATGTGTTTCCGTCCACGAGAAAATGGAGCATGCCTACAACTCAAATAAGTAATCCTTTGCCTGTCACATTAAAGTGCAATCGCTTCAGCTCCCAATTAACTTCACAATACACTCATTTTTACAGCTCCGCTCATAATTAAAT